CTTTTAGGTTTTGGACTTCTCTGCACCCTATAATAGTAATCAAAATATGACAAAAACCTTATACTATTGCAACAACATATTGTCTTGTACATAAGTTTAGTTCATCTAAACCACAATGTGCAATTTAAAAGAGCATAAACTAAATCATGGTAATTTTTTAGTGCATCATTGCAGTACCTAGAGTAAACACCCAACTATATATGGTTAATTTATACTTTATAAGTATTTGCTATTCAAAGTAAATTGGACTTTTTTTTTTGTTCTCCCTAATATTGTAGTGAATTTTAACACTGTTATTATATTCAATTTTTAACACATTTACACTTATTTTTTTAACAATGTGTTGAAAAACATATGTAACGTGTTGAAAAATAATTACAATGTGTTAAAAAGTGTACAATGCAACTATGACGGGAGAATTACAACATAAGACTTAGACTCAACATTGTAATATCCTAAAGTGCCAAACATAGAATAGTTAATCTAGGTATGTACAGATTTGGAACAAAAATTGAAATGATCAATGCAAAAAAATTGAATTGAATTGGAAGAGTTATTCTGTTGAGATTATTTCCAATTTTCAGAATTTTCAAAAAATATTAATAATAAATAATAATAGTAATAATAATAAATTTATTTGTTTGTCATTAGAAGATTTAATAAATAACAAGCATCATTGCATTACTAGATGTTGGTCTTATTCAGAAGGTGGTTAGTAATTTGGAGAACCAAACAATCCTTATATATCCCAAAAAAAGAAAAGAAAAATGAGGTTAAGATGGTAATCGTATTTCGGCCACGTGGTGGGTAATCATTTTACCGCAATCAATTTCCAAATGTTTCTAAAGTCAATAGGTTTGATTGGTTTGGTTGGGAGTTTCAAAGGATTACCGTTGCAAGTGGGACTTGTTCTACGTCCCATCTGAACTTAAAATGAAAATATGTATAAATAGGTGCGTATAAAGTATTATTTAATATTTTAAATTTTTAAATAAATGGATAAGCGTCTATGTTTTATAATTAATATTAAAATCAGGTTTAGTCCTTAATTCGGTGTCAACTCCCGTAGACAAGATGGCTCGATCGCAACTTGCGCAAGCTCAGGTGGAGGCATCGAATATGGATTGGAATGTGAATATGTATAAATGGGTGGATATACTGCACTATCCAATAGCTTAAACTTTTAGATAAATAGCCAGACGTTCACCCATTACAATTACCAACCCTTTCATCTCATTTCATTAACTAAGTCATATAATCATTCTCAACAAGTGTCACTTTCACGCCTTAAGTTTTCTCCTACTCTCGCGTTTTACGGGCGTTCTGACTCAAATTCTCACTATTTATGACTTAATTTTACCGCTTTCACGCTCCCACTCTCGAATTCACTTTCGCTTTATGTAACTTAATTCATTAATAGATTTATTTATTTACATTAAAAATATATATAAATTCATTTATTTATTTATGAAGAGCCCTCATATGAATTGAGACTTCCAATTTTGTTAATGAGGATATTTTTACACAATAAACATAATGTAAAGTTAAGCACGAGAAACACTTGGTTCCTGACTTACACTTTTGTCCAAGTTTGAACTTTGAGGATAAAAAAGTTATACCATTAAAGTAGAGGCTCTCTGATATCAGATGTGAATTTGTGTCTAAACGTTATAGTTATTTTAGGTACGAATATAACTGATGAACTGACACAGTTATTTTAGATATGAATATAACTGATGAACTGACACATTTTATATATTTAATTAAATTGTATATAGCATAGTATTGTTCATTAATAAATAGGAAATGCTAAAAAGGGTTTTGATTTTTTATCTATATTTTTCATTTGAGAAGTAGGGAAGGCAACCTTTATTTATTTATTTATTTTTAAACTTTTTCTTCTTCTTTCATATATATATATACTATGTATGGTCACAAAGAAAGCTTGGAGAAATAGCAAAGTTAATTAATTTAAGAGAAGTTTGTATAGTGCCTTTAAAAGCTAGCAAATTGATAGTAATAGCCCTCCCTTTTAGGCTTTAGTTAAATTTTAATTATGACCCTCACTTGGGCTTAATAATGAGCCAGCTGGTAATGGTTCCATATAGATGATGAGGCGGCAAATAGCCATTGGCAACTGCTTCAATTGTAAGAATTAGACTGTAGATGATTCTTAAGACTACCACTCTCAAGACTGCGCGCGCACACACACACACACATATTATTATAGTTTATGATTTTCAATGGTGGACCAAAACCCAACTAACTACAGTAACTGAAAGATCAATAACAACTCTAGAAGCCCTTTTTTTTTTTTAATGTGCATTATTAGCCAAAAAGTGGATTTCACTAAAGTAATATGCGATTTGAAAGCAAGGGCCATTTGACAAATATATATATATATATGAATGCTGAATAGGTGATTTGCAGACAATAAATATATTCTCTGATTATATACTACTACAATGGTCATCTAGATTAGTGTTTTGGATTGGGATCCACCACTTAAAATTCTTATTTAACAAAATTTTCAGATGAAATTGGAGAGTATCATACTCACCTAATCATCAGACTAATATAGAAATAGATTGGGCGGTATATAAGTACACATTTTGAAACAATCAAGCCAGCTAGAAAAATATATGTGTGTGTGTGTGTGTTCACTCACACAATCATATATATATATATAAAAGCTAATTTAAAGGTCATGCTAAGCTTGGAATGATGTCAAAGGTTGGACTTTTATCAGAATATAAACTCAACAAGTGGGTATATTCTAGTAGAGTTGGAAAATCACTTTCATAGGTACAACATAATTAGGCATTTTAATGTTAGAATTATTGTATCTACCAATCAGTCCACAATCAAATTTCTCAGGTCAAGTGGGATCCTGATTTTCAACAATAAAAAATTCCAATTCAATTATTTATTTATTATTGGATGATAACTTCAATCTTAAATGTTTTCCAAATAGAATATGCTTAGCACTTCCATGGTCACATGAATCTTGCCGACAAAATTTTAGACCAAATATTTTTCTTTATGAATTTTTAATTTATAGCATTATTATCATGATTATTATTATTTTTTTGACTGAAGTAGGAATATGTGCCACAACATATATAATAATTCTTTTCACTTTTTATGTAGTTAACTAATTAATGGGTAGTGTGAAGCCTTATAAGTACAAATATATTTTAGATAAATTTCTTGAGAGTATTTTGACATATTTAATGCTCATTACTAATAATAATAAAATCTCTGCAATTCATAAACATAACCCTAAATTTTAAATACATCACATAAATACACTTATGGTTATTAATGGACATTATTAGTTCATATGATATGATAGCTCTTTTCTCACAAATTCTATCCGTATGATCATGTTTTGAACACACTACCCTTAAACCCAAAAAAAAAACATTCTGCAAAATCTCTTATATATATAGCACGTGTCAAATACTTAATTCAGTAAATAAAATTATACTGTATATGAGACATGAACTTCTATATCTTCCGTGGATTTACATCCACATGAATTGTCCTAATTTATCATCACTGTTTTTAAGGATTCTCCAGAAATGGTAAATAGTGATACATTCGTGTATTTTCTAGAAGCAAGTTGTAAAATATCCAAATTCCATTCGCAAAATAATTAATACACAGACGGTTGAGTCATTTTCCGGTATACACGTGGCACTTAGAGCCCAGAAGGAACGATAGCCACATGGCTGTTCAATTTTTTATTTTATTATTATTATTATTATTATTATTATTTTTTTTTTTTTGTGACTTTTAATTTATTTTCTTCTTTGAGAAAAATCAGAAGCTGTTGGCCGGCTGCCAACATAATTCTACCTTTAGGGTGGCAATTTCGTCCATCCAAATATAATTTTGTTCGATCCTCTCTAATTTTAATGTCTTTAAATAATAACTAGGATTGCAAAATATAAATAATATGAATAGTTTTTGACTTTTTTATTTTTATTTTTTGGAGTTACTGAGGAACTGTCTGATTGATTAAAAAATAAATTATAATTAATGTTTGTTTTTTTTTTTTTTTGAAATTATAAAACTTCAACTTTAAGATCAAATTATTCTTTTAAATTATTTCTTCTTTTTTTATATTTAATAACCTTCCTTCTTTTCTTTGTTACATATATTTAATTTAATTTAATTTATTTTTTATTTTCTTTCTTTCCTAATTGGATATATATGGCTATACTTTTTTTTTTTTTTTTTTTGTTCACTTGTCTTATATATATATTCCACCTTGATGGACTTTTTATTGGATTTTATGTAATTTAATTAAAATAATGGTATGAGATTGAGTTTTAATTGAAGTAATATTATAAAATTTGAGTTTTAATTAATATATGAAATAAGAGAAGTATGGTTTCCAATCTATTCATAGTATGGTTGGTTAACTACTATATATATATATATATATATATATATAGGAAATGAAAGAATTGAAAAAAAAAAAAGAAAGAAGCAATCAATTCACACACACACATATATATATATATTTTTTTTCTCTCTTTATCTAAAGAAGAGAGAGACAATGAAAAATCATTCACACGGTGAGCAAGAAAAGAATAAAATAAGTAAGTAAAGAAAAATAAAGGTTATGTATATAAAAGTTACATACGTATGTACAAGTAAGATAAAAAAGAAAGAAAAATGTTGAAGTTTTATAATTTTAAAAAATAAAAAACATACATTAATTACAGTTTTTGTAATTAGATTTTTCAACTAATTAGACGTGGAACTGTGATCAGTAATCCTCTGCTTACCTTAATCTAAGGACCAATTGAAAGTCGTAACCAACATGAAATACCAAAAATAACCTTTCATTTTCCTTCTTATCCCCCAAGCAATTTTACTCTCTACCCTAGCCGCTAACTACAGCATCATCGAGTATCATCAGACAGTAGCATTAAATGCAATAAGAGTGGAATCTATGTGGAGTTCCCAATAGCACTTCGCCACGTGAACAAATCCCTGGTTTTCCCTATCCCAACCATGACCTTATGGTAGCGTTGGTCGCAAGTGATTGGTTACACTTTCATTTCTTTAGTCGTTTCCTCCGTCAGCCCCTCTCTCTCTCCTCTCTCTCTTCCCTTTCTATTTCCGTTGGAGCTGTAAACAGAAACCGAGACGGAACAAAACCCCACCATCCACTCCTCTGATCCGCTCCTCTATCCCCCATAGATACTGTTGCAACTGTCGCCGTCTGATTGACATCAATCTTCACCGTTTGATACGATTTCCTCGTGTGTATAAACTCTCCTCCTCTGCATCGGTTGAGGACGATGACGATGTGCTTAGCCGAGCTCAATATTGGATGCACACTTACTCTCCCGTTCGTCGATTTGGTGTTCTTTTGAGCACAAACTTCGTCATAGTCTCGCCAATTACCGATCCGATTCGGTTGTGTGTCGTGCTCGCAAACCGCCAAAAGTTTCAAACTTTGTCTTAGATCGAAGCACAACTCTGTTCTTCATCGTTTAATTTTGCAAGTCATCGAAGTTCTGTTCAGTGGTTTGAATCTGATCGTTTTATGTTTTGATACTCAATTTCGGTGTGTTCAGTCTTCGATCGACCTTTGAAGTTAGAGCTCTGTTTGTTGTGTGTGCGAGAAAATAGCTATGGAAGATCGAAAGTCGAATAAGTGGAGTATAGGAATGCCAGATACAATATTCGGACTCGTGATTGAGCACATAGTCGATTCGCGTGACCGGGACGCGGTCTCTCTGGTGTGCAGGAGATGGTACGAGATCGATGCGCTGACTCGCAAACACATTACGATCGCCTTGTGTTACACCACCACTCCGAGGCGGCTCCAGCGGAGGTTTCAGCAACTTCGGTCGCTCAAATTGAAGGGGAAGCCACGAGCGGCGATGTTCAATTTGATACCGGAGGATTGGGGAGGGTTTGTGACTCCATGGGTTGAAGAAATTGCCAAGTCTTTTAGTTGCTTGGAGTCGCTTCACTTCCGGCGGATGATTGTGAAGGACTCTGATCTTGAATTGCTTGCTCAATCGCGTGGCCATGCTTTAAAAGTGCTTAAGCTCGATAAGTGCTCCGGTTTTTCCACAGATGGACTTTTACATATCACTCGCTTGTGCAGGTATAGTTACTAGTTTTTTGCCACATATTTGACTTGATTATACTCTATACCTCAAATCTTTGAAATTGTAGAAAACTTGGATTGAAAAGTAAAAGACTTTCTTACTTGTTTTTGTAGTAGCTATTGTCCTCTTGTTTTATGGTAAACATTTTGGCACGAAATAATTAATTGTAGATTTTCGTTAGTTTTAATCTTTTAGTGAATATTGATTAATATATCATGAGGAATGATAGAACTTGATTTCTGATATTGGGGCCTTATTTTGACTATTTTGTGAATGAAATAATCTGCTTTGTTCATCAATGCAGTGGACGTTCTTGCTGGTTTTTGAGTTTATAAATTATAATTAAATTAAAATAGAGCTCAGTGAACGATGATGTAACTAAAAGAGATGTGGGAAGCTGACTAGGAAGTTTTCAAGATCTTATTTTGTTAGGATTTTAGAAGTCATTGGATTTGGAATTTTGTAGGGATTAAATTCTTGTGATTTGTTAAATATCTTTTATATATATATATATATATATATATTTCAGTGAACGATGATGTAACTAAAAGAGATGTGGGAAGCTGACTAGGAAGTTATCAAGATCTTGTTTTTGTTAGGATTTTAGAAGTCATTGGATTTGGAATTTTGTAGAGATTAAATTCTTGTGATTTGTTATATATATATATATATATATATATTTCATTGGTTTTCTGAGTTTATAAATTATAGCATTCTGGAAGATGACGCGTAAACACATTATTAAGATTTTACTGGCTAGTTTAGTTATATAGTACAAGATATTGGTTCAAGTCATAAATGGCTGAGTAGACCCAACCCACACACCTAATTCTTAGTAGATTTATGTCAATTTGACAAACTTGGGAGTTGTCTGGTCACTGAATCTGGATAAAATTTAAAGTGGGCTCCTTTCTTGTTGGAGTATATTGAAGACTGCACAAGATATATCAAGTTATTTTTATTATTATGAAACCATATTTGATAAATTCATGCTTTATAGTGATGGAATATGACACCTTGCAAATATTTTGATTTCAGTTCCCACAATTTTAGTTTATTTTTCGACATCTTGGATTTCTTAACTCTTATCTTGGAAAGTTATGAAAAGAAACAACTGAAAACTACCGGGGATTCCAGATCAAAAGTAGTCAAAACCTATTGCAGTTTGTAATCATATTAATCTTTTCAAAATAAGAGCTTTGAGTGATTACTAGGTATTGATAAGGATGAACTTGAAATCATTGGTTATGTAAAACTAGTTTGTTAGATGAGTAGTTTTCAAGTGAGTTTATTACCAATATGCTTTTCTTGCATTTTGTTGATTTGGAGGTTGTAGTTGATGTGATTTGTAGTGTAGTGATAGACATCATACACATCTAACTAGTTCTGGTGCCTACCTAGAGGCTAGAGATACAATGGTGATTTATGTATTCTCAATTTCATTTCTAACCCTGTTTACTCTTCCTCAGGAAGTTAAAGACCTTGTTTCTGGAAGAGAGCAGTGTCGATGAGAAAGATGGGGAGTGGCTACATGAGCTTAGTTTGAACAACACAGTTCTTGAAACATTGAACTTTTACATGGCTGATCTTGCAAAAGTCAGATTCCAAGACCTTGAAGTGATAGCTAGAAATTGTCGCTCTTTAGTGTCGATGAAGATTAGTGATTGTGAAATTCTGGACCTCGCTGGTTTCTTTCGGGCAGCAGGTGTGCTAGAAGAGTTTGCTGGGGGTTCCTTCAATGAGCAACCAGAAAAATATTCTACCGTTTCACTTCCCCCAAGATTATGTTGTTTGGGTCTAACATACATGGGGAAGAATGAAATGACCATTGTATTCCCCTTTGCATCCCTACTGAGAAAATTGGATCTGCTCTATGCTCTACTCGATACAGAGGATCACTGTCTCTTAATTGAAAGGTGCCCTAACTTAGAAGTTCTTGAGGTACAATCCTAAAACTGTTTCTTGTCCTTTTTCCTCATGTATGTTTACTCATTCTGTTTTTCCTTTTCAGTGTTTTGTGCATCTCTTGTCTAGATTCACTACAAATTCACCCTTTATTCAATTAAATTGGATGTGCTATTTTCATTCGTGGTAGCTTGCATTGCTTTGCTCTCATGATGAATTTTAATTAAGATCAAATTTAAAGATGTCACATTTCTTGATTTAAGCTCAAGTTTTTTGAAAAATAAATAAGTGCATTACCTAGTTCATGTACGCCTATGGGCTTGTTGTAGGGTAAGATTGGAAAAGACTTGATCTTTGGTATAATTTTGCACAAAGTGGTTGCTTTGACAATCAAACCTGTGTCCTCTCGCTTGAAAGACTAAGCTTTTACCATTGCTCAAATCTAATTGTTTACCTAAAATTTGGATTATCACCAATGGAACCAAATTCAGATAATATTTATTATTTATGTACATGTGTTATATATGAAATTTTTTAGATAAGGTGGAAGCAGGTAGAATACTACTCGAGAATCATTAAGTCATACGATAAAAGTCAATGGGCATTTTATTGAATAAATAAATTGATTTGAGTAACCTATTCTTCTTTTTGAAATGGACAGACGAGGAATGTCATTGGGGATAGAGGATTGGAAGTTCTTGCTCGGTATTGCAAGAGATTAAAGAGGCTTAGGATTGAGCGAGGTGCTGATGAACAGGGAATGGAGGAAGAGGGAGGATTAGTTTCACAGAGAGGAATAATTGCTTTGGCGCAGGGCTGCCTTGAACTGGAATATTTAGCTGTATACGTGTCTGATATCACAAACGCATCTTTGGAATGTATTGGCAGATACATGAAAAACCTATGTGATTTTCGCCTGGTCTTACTGGATCAAGAAGAAAGGATAACGGATTTACCTCTTGACAATGGAGTTCGAGCTCTACTAAGAGGCTGCAAGCTTAGAAGGTTTGCTCTGTATCTTCGGCCTGGGGGCCTGACTGATGTGGGTCTCAGTTATATCGGGCAGCACAGCGACAACATTAGATGGATGCTTCTGGGTTATGTTGGGGAAACTGATGAAGGGCTTCTGGCGTTCTCTAGAGGCTGTCCAAGCTTACAAAAGCTAGAAATGAGGGGTTGTTGCTTCAGTGAACGTGCACTCGCTTTTGCTGTATTGCAGCTAACTTCTCTCAGATATTTGTGGGTGCAAGGGTATCGAGCAACATCTGCAACGGGTTGTGATCTCTTAGCCATGGCTCGCCCATATTGGAATATTGAGTTAATACCTTCAAGGCAAGTTGTAGTTGCCGATCCTCATGGAGAAGCTGTAGTTGTTGAGAATCCTGCCCATATACTAGCATATTACTCCCTTGCCGGACAAAGAGAAGATTTTCCAGATACCGTTTGCCCTCTGCTGCCCCCATCTTCCCTTCTTACTTCGTAGATCTGTATATATTCTTTTCCCGACAGTTCCCTTCTTTCCTCTGTTACATGTGCTCTGTCCTGTTAATAGGTTCTTGTATCTTTTCTTTTTGGTATAAGGGTTTTTTTTTCTTTTTCTTTCATTTTAAATTATAGTTAAAACCTATTTCTAAACTCTTTTGCTAAAATAAGTTTTTTTGTTGTCTGTAATTTTGAGGCACTTGTGCTGTTGCTTGCTTTAAGTTTCAATTCAGTGGCGACTTGCATTAGTTCTGAACTTCTGCTTCAAGTCAACTACTTGCTGATTTAAAGCAGGGCCAAGTTTTGTGATGCGGTACTGTGAATAAAAATGAAGAGTTGTTCCACCTTGCATTGTTTGCTGCATCATTGTAACAGCCGATAGCCAAGTGTTGACTGGCTCGAGCCTCGAACCTTGTCTATATCCGTGCTTGGTAAAAGCTAGATTTTAATGGTGTCGTGGAAAGTTGTATGTGTCTGTGTCAACCGGAGCTAAGCCATGTGAAGTCGTAGCTGTCGAATGCCACATCGTTCCACCTTCACTTGTCATTTCAAGGAGACGGTGTTGTGGAAAAGTTCACCTGGAGTTGAGCCTGTGTCATCGGCGAACAATTTCACTTTTTGATCAGCATACAGAATTCATGTCTGCGAACAATTGCACACCGCCATATCACAGTGCCGATCAAGTTGTGTCGTGGTAGTACTTTCAACGTATTTGATACTTGTAATTTTACTAATGGAGCGTTGATTTAGAAGGAGAAATATTTGCTCTATCGGATTTGTCATGCTACATGTAATAAATGGTTGTGTTTTCCAACTGTGTATGTACCTCGAAATCAGATAGGTAGGGTAAGAGTTTCCTTTAGGTTGAGAGAACTTAAACGGCTCAGGCCCTAACGAGGGGGTGTTCACGGAGTTTTAGGGGGCGGCAGTCTCAGGGGAGGTGAAGACGGTGAAGGTACGCATCACCTGACATATTCAAAGGCCACAGTTGCTTGCATTCAAACGCGGTTGTTGTAGAGTAATGCATATGCAAGAGAAGAGGCTACAATACATTTTGAAAATCCTTCAAGAGCACTGATGCTACAAACATATTGGCTGATATGGTCCTATTTGGTGATACTGATATCAAGCGCTGAAGGCTGAAGCTGAATGTTTTCGGAGGGCTATCATTTCGGCTCAACACTCTACATATATCTACCTGTTGGTTTGAAAGTGACTCTATGGTGGTTTGTAAGGCAGTGGCGATCCCCGAGTCAAGTCCTGTAGCAATGGAAGCCATTAAATTTGATATGATCCCTGGAAGCCATCAAATTTGATATTATTCAAGCGTTTCGCGATTTTTCCTCGGTTCGAGTTAGTCATGTAAATAGGCATGGCAACGAAGTCACTAGTGCAGTAGCAAAACTGTCTTGAAGTCATATCATGCAGGACTCTCCATTGCTTCATTCCAGTGGATATTCTCCTTCTTGCTGATGGAGACTTGTCTAGTAATAGGAGTTTATCCTCTCTTTGATATTGTTTCTTCATTGTTGTTTGTTTGCTAGGAAAAAAATATATATATCAAGAAGCCATCAACTTTCAGAATCACACACATATTTGATTGAAAAAGATGAATGTCTTGGGAATAAATTTTATGGTTCTCTATTCTTGGACTGAAATTGGATTAGGGGAACAACTCTTGTCTCTAGTCAAAAGATCAGCCTCCATGATATTGAATTTGATGTACTCATTGAACAGAACATACTTCTTTTTTTCTTTGAAAATAAAATAAAAAATAAAAAATTCTCAAAAATTAGAACTAGACATTTATGATTCTTTTGTTATCTAATTTAATTTTATATTATGAATAATCCATTTTGAATGGATTGATTGCAGTAAATGACACTACGCATCAAATATGTAAATCATGTTTTTTGATGCAGAATTAGTGCAATAATGTTGGTCTTACAAAGATTCTGTGCAACTCAGTAACATTTTCTAATGTATGCATATATGGGATGGAAAGATAGCAGTTCACAAAACAAACGCAGAAGATATGTCACATACACACACAGATATGGTCCTCCCTTTCACTGCAGAATCAGTACAGATCCTACAGCTTTATTTCTTATACTACCATTGTTTTTAGCAGATTATGTTTATCATTAATGGCATAAATTTTCTTTGATAGAAATAACCTTTCAAAATCATAAACATTAATGTCTACCACCGGCACAACGGTGAAGATGCTCTACTGAACTTTGAGTCTCTAGCCACGGGTTCAAAATTGAAAGCAACATTTATATACTACACATATGGCCCTCCTCAGATCTCGTAATAGTGCCCTGCCCTTTTTAACCTTTCAAAATGATGATGTATTTGTTGTACCAAGTCTTTAAACAAAATAATAATAATGATAAATAATAAATAAATAAAAATAAAAGGAGGGGAAAGCAAGTTGTAGGATCAATCCTCTACAGTTTATATACATCATCCTCTTTTTTCTTTTTCTAAACATGAATGAGATTTGATGTAAAGAGAAACCAGGGTTTGATTGGACGATCATTGTTGCGCCTCCATGGATTGGCATTGTAAAAGCTAGAAGATACCTTTCTATGTAGTGGAGATTTACTATAGAAAAAAACGGGTCAATCCATTTCACACACAGATTAACCAGATTACTAATGAAGAAAGATTTTCCTTTTCTACTTTTAAACTTTAAACAAGAAAAAGATGAATCAAAGTGTATACTTTGAAACTTTTCGATGTATGCGGTCTTAATCCACTCAGACATTTGAGAAAAATTAGAATAAAGTGGCCAAAATGCTTTCTTCGCAACTTGCAGAGCGGCTGATCCTATAAAATAATAATAAAAATTGAAAAAAATAAAAATAAAAATAAAAGTTGGTGGTTTTGTCATTTACCAAAAAGAAATGTGAATAAAAGTAATCATGTTACTGATTAATGTGTGGTTTTAGAAGATGATACATGCAAAATGACGTGTGCTGGCACTTTGGCTTTTTCATTTAATAGTTGTATCAGCAACAACGGTGGTAGTAGCAACTAAAGGGAACAAACACAGTCACAGCACATTAGCAAACATAAAAATTTGTTCAGATCACTTATCATCTGAGGACTAGCATTTTATCAACCATTAAAATAGTGATATATTTATCTACCCACTCCCGGGTAGATGTTATTTTCCACCTAATGAAAACGCACCTTTATCATAGTCTTGTCAGCATTTTTACAGGTAGAACAGCTCTGTTTTTCAACTGAACCAGGCTAAACTTCGTAAAACGTACGCAACCTCAGTGTGGACACTACAAAGAAGACAGTAATGGTAGAGAGAGTGAAAAAATCAAGATTGTCGAGATTTCATTCTGTTGAAAAGAAAAGAAAAGAAAAGAAAAGAAACAAAGAAACTAGATGCTCTAATTCCATATAATGTGAAAAACCAAAGTTCTTTCCACACTTTCATTGATTTCAGTAGATATGCAAATGAACTTCAGAATCACAGAAACCATGATTCCCTCCATGGATTTGCAAAAGAAGCTACTTATGCTAATGCAGAAGTCTATGCCACCATTAACCTTCGGACCAGGGGATGGTAAGATACGACAGAATATGGCGAAATTTGATTGGAGAAAAGAAAATAAATAAGTAATTGGAAAACATGGGCCACATTGGTAATCGTACGCGGATCTTTGTGCTCTACGAAGGATTAAAGCATAAGATGCTTGCATTAGTGGAATGCAGACTAAGCGTCTACAAAGTGATGGTGATCAAGCACAGTCAACTAGGCCTAATTGGATGCATAAATCTAAGGATGGCCGAAAGGGACCAGAGGGAAAAGAAAGCAATCAGATGCTATGGAATTTCATGAAGAGTGCTGAGTGAGTCAGCTAATTTGGCCACAGCACCTAGTGACATGGCAGCTCGCGAAAGAGGATAGTTCGGCTATAGTTTAATGAAGTGCACTAAACAGTGATTTAACTGTTCTGCGTATCAAAAAACAGGAAGTTGTGGAAGCTTCAGCAGAAAAACTGAATTTGATCTAGAGAAACCTGAAAGTAAATTGTTAGTAGTGCTTCATTAGGTCTTGAATGGACAAGAGAAATGCAAAAGACAAGGAATATACAGGCTCAAATCATCAAGTTGTAGAAATGGACAAGAGAAATGAAAAAGACAAGGAATATATTGGCTCAAATCATCAGCTTGTAGAAATGGACAACCCTAACTTAAATGGTTTGATCATAATCCATATGATCTAACTGATGCCTTTGATCATAAGCCATATGAACTACAGATTCACTGCTAGCACGTATGTATGATCGATTGTTTCTCTAATCATTTCAAAGGGACTTCAGACTAGAACAATTTAAATCGTAAAACCAGGGAAAATATAAAGGCAAATTCAAGAGTGATTCAAATTGATAAGTTCAAGCACATGATTCCATCATCTTTCCATAGTGTTCAACAAGCATGTTATAGCTCAATTTCATCCAGTTAATTACATAACATCATGGCAAAAGCACTGACATTGAAATTTCACTCAACAGATTGCGTTGTCATTTCAACCCATATGGACAATTACCAAGATTGCTGCCTCATCCATGAACTTCATACCTTGTGGATTGGATCTGAAACATTGAATTGTGAGGTCCGATATGAGCTCCATGACGAGCACCTCCCTGTAGTTTAAGACCATGTGGAGCAATCTCATGTGGATACTGCATGAATGAGTTGGCATGAGTTGAGCCAAAAACCATCACTACTCCATCATTGGAGTCATTCCAGTTGAGTAATATTTTTGGTGTGCTGGGGACCGACGTTGGTGGTGAAAGCGGACTGGACTTGTCACACAACAGAGATTCATTATAATTGGATTGAGTAGCGTCCGCGAGATGGATAGTTGTGATGTCATGGATGCTGGGTCGTCTCTTATCTTTTCCACCCGAATTCTGCCTCATGTAATATTTCTGAGCATGGCTTGCCACTTGAGTGGGGTTTTTGGTGATTACGAAATTCCTAGAGATATGTCTCCAGTCCCCTTTACCATGCACTTCAAGACCCATCAGAAACCGCCTAGGATTAGTCACCAAACAACACATGTTATGAACAAGAAAATACTTTTGTTGGACAATTCAAATTGGTATCCACACGGTAAGGATAGATAAGAGAAACCAACAAAGCTCAAACCAATCATATTCACAAACAAACCTATCGAATAATCTTTAATTGAAAGGGTTAACAATTCAAATTCCCATCATGGATATATTTCCCAATCAAAAAATAATAACATTAACAATAAATAAAGGAAATTTCTAGGAAAAGTGACTATGAAGAATAATGTATAAAGGGCTCATCTTCATTTGGTTACTGCAAAACCAGTAAACAAGTAAAGGAACATTAAATCCATATATTTCCTTGATTTGGGTTCACTAGAACATTGAAACATCAACTCAATTATTATTATTATTTTTTCTTGGCAAGAAACTCACGCACCCATTTGTCCTGATGGCAACTTGAACCCTCACCCAGGGACGGACTTACATAGGCTCCAGGGAGACAACTGCCCCCTCTGATTTTTTTTTTTACATTAAATACTAGGAATTTTTTCATATTACAGTTATATACCTATGAAATTCTAGTGTCCCCCCTCCTAAAATTATTAAAAAAATTCACCTTTGCCTCCTCTCACCCAATTTCCTGGGTCCGTCCCTGCCCTCGCCATCCGCTTTGGAAGGTAGAGGAGATACCATTAGGCTACAACGGCCTTTGTCATCAACTCAGTTAAGTCTGTTAGAATAGGGCTAATTTCAATTTTTCATTTTCATTAAGCATAACAACAGAAAAAGAAAGCAAACTTTTAATTGAAGCACCAAGCTATACCTAGCAAAACTACAAAGTAATAAAGAGAATTCACCTGTGCTCATCTTCTGTCCAAGGCACCCCCTTTTTCCTCTCCCCCGTGGAAGACCTCTTTCTTAAGGCATCAAATTCGCGATTATCTACAAACTCCAATGTGAAAGAGGATGTCAAATACACCGGAATTGGAACCAACCCAGCCTCTATATCATTAACATCTGCTTCCAATTTCTGGTACTGCCATATCACATCAAACACTGACTTTCCAGGGATCATGGCTGCCACATTTAGCCATCTCTCCGGAGTGTCCTTATCGAACATGGCAAGAGCTCTCTCAAAGCTCTTGTTCTCTTCTTTAGTCCATTTGGTGTTCTTGCTCTCTTGCATCAAACAATTCAAATACGAAGACGGACTCAGACTTTCCATGTCCACGAGTGTTTCAAACCCTTCTCCCCTCAAGTCTATATCCCTCAATTTGCTATAATTTGACATTTCAATCCATAGAATTGATTCAAGCATTCAATTTGATGACATTGAAGAAATATTTAGTATGCAGAGAAAGTGTGAGGGATTATAATGACCCAAAAGGCATTAAATTCAGAATCATTTACTGGGAATCAGAATACCCTTTTTTCAAAATAGCATAAATTGAAGAATCTAGAAAAGACTCACCTTTTCGGAATCAAGAATATCTGGAAAAAATCAGAAAAAGCATAGATCTTGCAGCTCACAGATAAACCCTAGACCCAGCCAATCACATATTATACTAAACCACAAACCAGGACAGAACTAAAAACAAAAGAAAATTGCAAAACCCATATAAATTTCTGAATTTGAAAGAGACGTTGGAATATTTTGAAGAATTGAAGGTTCAAAAAGTGAGAATAGGTAGTGCCACACTCCAAAACTTCAACTAAAGTGAAATAAAACTTGTCGAAAGAAACCAGTTGAGAAAAGATATTGATTCTGGAGAATCTGGGTGATAAAAGGCGGGAAAGTATTGTTTCCTTTTCTTTCTTAGCAACAAGAAAACAGAGAGAAAATGGTGATTGGGGGTTCAAGCAAAAGTGGGTGAGAATGGAAGAGACGATTCAAAATTCAGTGGTAGTACGGTTCTTTAACAGGGTCGTGAGAGAATCGAGAGCAGAGTTTGGAAGGAAGAGGGAATATAAAGAATACTTGAAGTTGTTGTCTACTTGTGATTGGGGGTACCATCATGAAGTCTCCACTTGTAATTTTGTAAATATATATACACACACAATATATACATACACACACATATATATATATATATATATCTATGTATACACCCATGTGAGTATATATGTTTTCTTTCCTTCTATGATGGGGAGGAAGGCTGTCCTCAAGTGTGGTTTGAGAACTCAAATAACCCCTCGTGTAGTTGTTATCTTCCCTTTTTAATAATTTATGCTTTTTTTCAATCCTACATTCCAAATCAACCAAAATAACGCTGACGGTCAATGGCATTTTAGGGGTAGAGAAAGAGGGAGTGTGATCTAGGTACTAAAATGAATTAAAAAAAAACTAAGAGTTAGAGATTAGGGTAGAGATAGAGGTTTAGTGATGAAGGTAGTTTTGTTAATTAATAGGATGAATATTTTGTAAATTAATTGAATTAAATATTCAAGGAGCAAATATGACATTTGAAACTATAAGGGGTATTATTGTTAAAAAAATCGTTAACCTACATCGGAGTGGCATTGACTAAAACCTCAAAAGGTATCAATGCAATTTACCCTATATTTTTCAAGCATTGTGTGATTTTGTCATTTATGAAAGTGTGTTTCAATATCACTACATTTTGCTTTCACCAAAAGGAGACAGGGTAAAATAAAATTTTCAAGACAAAGTATTCTAATGTGTTTGAGACGGGCAGAGCCCGCATGTGCCCAAGGCCCTGCCTCCTATCCCATGCTGGTCCACTAGATTTTTTATTTTTTTATACATAAATTTGTAGAAATTGATAAAATATTCCCGCTAAAATTGATAAAATGGCTTTTCTATCTCTGAATACACTATATTTTATTTTATTTTATGTTTATAATGTAAATATTTATAAAATATCCCCATAAAATTTATAGATTATCCCCCATAAAATTATTTATTTATAAAAAAATCTTTAACTCTTTATTCATTTTCCTTCTTATTTTTCAAATTTCTTTTTGTCATCTTCAAAAACTTTTGTATTCTCTTTCTACAATTAAAACATATTTTTTCTTCAAAATTCTCTCGTATTTTTTTCTTTTTATTTCATTTTCTTCTTAAAATTTTCCTCTTTCTTCTTAAAAATTTCTTTTTTTCTTGCACTCATGCATAATTTATGTGCAATAACCTCTCTCTCTCTCTTTTTCCCCCTCTTCTTATTCATTTTTTATTCACTTATTCTAATGCACTGTTGTTACGCTATTATATTTTTGGCCAATTTGAAAAACAAAATTATTTTGTCAGTGTTAACATGCCCCCCTGAACCAAATTCCTAACTTCGCCGCTGATTAGAGATTCTTGTTTTACATTAAATTTGAATAGGGAGTGACCCTAGAAGCTAAAAAAAATGGTATTTTTGTGTAATTGTAATAATCGAGTTATTGACATTGGTGCTACACAAATATGATTCAGGCATATACATGATATATTTACTTAAATCATGAAGAAATTGATCCCATGATGTGGATTTTGAAATTATAAGGTCAAGTAAACAATAATATCTCAAACTTTAAGTTTTTGAATCAAATGACAATCCCCTTGTCTAGTCCCCAAGGTCAGTAGGAAGTATTCCATCTTCAAGACTACATTAATTATTAATATTATTAGTATTAAGATTAGCTCAAGTTTTTCCAAGGCAAAATATAGAGGATATAAGCCAAGAGTATTGTGAGAAAAATAATCAATAATGTACCATTTTTGTCAACCTTTTGCCTTTCAAAACTTACAATTGGTTAAGCAATATTTGGGAACACAGTTTTTACCATCAACACACACAAAGCTTGATTCGATGGTTCTAGTGACAAAATTTCATATAAAAATCATTTTGATTTGATGGTTTTACTGACAAAATTACCATCAATTGTTTTCTAGGTGGAATAAACAATTGGAATAATGACTTTAACGAAGAATGGTGTACAAATAATAATGATTATTAGTGCCCTTGATCTAACCCAGTATGATGAATTTCTCTGTTGCCAAGGCATGAATCAATTGAGTGCATATTGGAATCTTTGAGACAACTCATGAAGTAAAAGACAATATTGGAAAATATCTGTTTCTCTAGATTTTATAATAAAATTGATTCTTCCCGCAGAAGTCACAAAAGCGCCTGTAGCTCAGTGGATAGAGCGTCTGTTTCCTAAGCAGAAAGTCGTAGGTTCGACCCCTACCTGGCGCGATTTATTTTTTATTTTTACGGGGAAAAAAATTCTCAAATTTAGCAGCATCTGAATCAATTTTCATCAAGAATTCTGTTTCAAACCCTTGTATTGATCACAACCCTTTTGGAAATCTAAGAATTACATGCATAATTTATATACACACGGTGCACAAAACCACAAGCAAAATTAAACTTATATACATAACTATCTGTCCAAGTTTATTGATCATATCTCCGAAACAATCAATCATTTCTCCTCCTCAGTCTTTTATTGCATTAATTTGTGCATCTTCAGTCACCGCGCTCTCTCCTAGTGTCGCTATCATCCCTTAAAACTGTGATGGTAAGCTGCTCGGATTCATTCAGCACGTTGGAAGGTCAGATGGAGGCGGTAGGATTGACTCATTCGGACCATTGCCATTGTCCACCAGAAACACCATCTTAAGTCCCCAGGTTGTGTGCACTTCCAAGTGACAGTGCAAAAACCAAATGCCTATTCACACCAAATGAGAATCACAAAAGTCACTTCATTTATACTAGTACTTCACAAGTTAAAATTCAATGCAAGTAGTTGAATTCTGAAGCAACTTCAAGATTAAATAATCATAATTGTTTCCTTTTTTTTCCTATGCCACGTCACACAATTGAAGGTCTTACGAGACTAGTTCTTGGACATTTCTCTTGAAAGGTCCAACGTAACTTTTTTTAATTTATGCAGTTCATTTTGGAATCACAGCTCAAGAAAATTAACATTATGGTAGAGTCTCCTTATTAGGAAAATGACACTTGACAATTAAGAACTTAATCCATGCTAAAAATTTCTTCTTCACACAAGTTGCTTTCAAGCCAACCTTACAAATTATATATATATATATACATATATGAGTTCAACAAAAAACACACAAGCAAAAAGAGTGAAAATGATTAGAAGTGTAGGTTTTACCTGGATTGTCTGCGTTGAATCTGATTGCAGTCCACCCTGCAGTTGGTACACTTATTGTGTTCCTCTCCACAGGATCAACAAGATTAAAATTCTTTGGATCATTGTTTGGATCAAAATTGCCTACGCCTTTCCCAACTACGTAGAAATTATATCCATGCAAGTGGATTGGATGGCTCTCTGGTGCTATGAAAGAAGTACCTTGAAGCACAATTTGAACTGTAGAATTATATTTCAGTCTGTACGCCTTTGTGCCATTCATAGTCTGCAAATTGGCCGGTGGGGTGCCAGTATAATTAAAAGGGATTAGAGGGTTTCCGGGAAAATCAACAGTGAAAACCCCACTTATGCTGTAGTAATGTGCTTGAAGGAGAGCTGTGGTTGGCATCACAAAGGTGACATTGTTGATACCTGCCACGACTCGGCTTCCATTTACACACGTAGCACAAGGGTTGACACCAACACCTATTGTGAACAGCAGTGAGTGATCAATGGTCAATGGGACATTGGCAGGGTATTGGTCTGAATTGAGGGATCTGAGTCGGTCCATGAAGGTATTCGTTATAGGGGTTGCATTCTGAGGAGGAATGCTGGTGAGGGTGATTGGGGGAAATGCAGGAGTGCCTTTGTAGCGTAGGGTACCAATCGCGGTTAGGTTGTCAACAGCTACCACTGTGTCCATAAAAGGAGAGATGGCTATTAAGTACTTGCCAGTGTATTGATCCGCGGTTAGAAGAGCGTTTGTGGTTTGGCCTGGACCAATGAAGATGGTGTCGGTCTTAAAGGGCTTAGTGTATGTTGCATCCACTTCCACAACGGTTAGCTGATGGCCAGCAACCTTGAAAAAGAGCTCATCATTCACTGCTGCATTGATGATCCGTAGCAAGTAGGTTTTTCCACTTTCGACATGTAAAGTGAAACCTGTATAAGATAGGAACTAAATGAAAGTAGTTCTCACATCATCCATGCATTTTCTTTCTGCCTACTGAGGCAAAAGTATCATACTTCACAAGCATGTCAAAGAAGTGAATCATACAAGTTCTTAATTTTTACTTTTTCACAAGGTTAAAAAAAGAAGAAGAAGAAATCAGTATCATCTACACTGTTGACTTTTAATTCACGAATCAGTTGCTCTTTGTTTTGTTCATCATTATAAAACTGTTGGTTTCTCAGGAAATTATGATCTGGCTTGTTTGAATTTCCAATCACCCATCAAGAGTTTTATATCAATATAGCAAAGGATTAAAAGGGCATACTAAGACTAGATAAAAAATATCACAAGACCATGTGTCCCTTTGTTAGTACCCTTAGAAGAACAATTTGGAACTGGTCCTGTATAGCCATTAATGGTGTGTGAATCTGATACATTTGGTGTTAAACTGACTTGCATAACCTTGTTGATCATAGTTTCAATGTCTGTCTTCCACCATTCGCCTGCAATTTACGAAACTAGAATCAATTTGGCAACTATACATGAGTGGTCCAATATCAGTACATACTAAAAAATCTCAAGAAAAATGAACATCAAACCGAACTTTGAGCTTACCAAATACGATGATTTCTTCCTTATCAGGTGTGGGGAAGGGGTAAGGCACGCCCAACTTGGGCAAGATGACAATGGCACCGTGCACGGTTGCCCTTAGCCAGGTGATATGGGCATGCCAAAGAAGTGTACCTCTTTGACCTGTGAGAGTGAAGTTGTAGATATAGCTTTGGCCAGTCTGAATTGGGCACTGGGTGATGTATGCTGGTCCATCTGACCAACCTGTTCGAAGCTGGCGGACTCCATGCCTGCAAATTGCCATAAACAAACACTGGCATTAAAACTCCAATCGGTAAATCACATCAATTTTTCACAAGGTTTTTGGTGCATAGTAAAATCAGTGTGAGTATGAACATATAGACCACATAATTCAGTAATTTTCTAAAACTAGACTAAAAACCAATCCTTATTTTGAGTCTCACCAATGGATTGTAACGTTGTATTGGACATGGTTAACGACTCTCACAATCACTGTATCGTCCTCCCTTGCATGGAGAGTAGGCCCTGGGAACTTCCCATTGACAGTGACAATTGGCTTTGTCGCGCAAAGCTTCGTTGCATTCTTCAAGACCACCTGTACAAAGTAGCCAACAGATTGGTCAACTTAATACCATTTGTTACCTAATCATATCAATCAGATTTAGGAATCGCTAACAAAAAAATTATATAAAGCCATGGAAGATAGCATAGCTTGCAATTAAAAGTCATGCTCAATGTCTTGATCGACTTTTTTCCCTCTCATTTTTTTATTTTTGGACATTTTTAAGTAATACAAATAAAGTCTATTGTTCAAATTAAATTTAAAAGTAGTGTATATAAAACAAGTCATTAATATACTATTTATAATAAAGATATAACAACTGTTAACTCCTCATAATTAGACACACAGTTGATTATGAAAAACTTGTCTCTAAACAGTGTATTAGTTGATCAAACTTCATACTATGATCATTCTCTCTTTGGTGATTAATTTATAGAGGTGGATTAATGAAAGTATTAATCATAAGCCAATGCTTATACAGTGGCATTATTAATGTATCATATGTTATGACACAAAATATTGAAGGAAGTACTTACCCTGAACTTATAGTGACGAACCACAGACTCAACCAATGCTGGAAACATCAAGGCGGCCACCACCACCACAGCTGTCCGGGCCCAAGCTGCCATTTTCTCTCTCTCTCTATTCCTACCTCTCTCTCTCTAAGACTGCAGTTCTTTGTGTTGTTATTTTCAGCACAAATTTGAAAGACTAACCATGGCGACTCTATTATATAAAGGAATTGGAACTATGATGCCATGTCGTTTTACGCTGTTAGGTGAGTAGAGAGATTGGCAGCCATGCTTTCCCCGAGATTTCTTGCATATTACATAAAGTCATTTTACTAAGCTTTGGTTGACACTTTCGAATTTCGATTGACTGCAATTGATGTGATTATCCAAGATGGTTGAAACGTACGTAGCAGCTGCATATCTGTGTCTTCCTACGTGTGTGTGTGTGTGTAATCAGAGGATACCACATTTGTGTGTATTTCATGTTATGGAATACATATAAACTACTGTATATTAATTAGAATCATGTACATATGTTAGAACTAAGGCTCCTTAATTGCAGAATCCAAAATTGAAGTAATAATTGAACAACAAAATCGATCAATATGTATAATTTTGTACAGGATAATGTGTTTAGCTGATATTCTAGCAATCTTGAGTGCTGTGATGAGTCTTTGTGTTAGTAAAATTTTGTTCTTGTGAGTACTAAAGGTTTTTTTTTTTTTTTTAAACCATGGCAAATATAACTCTCACCCATTTTTTGTTTCTAAAAATTGCCTTCAGTCTTAAACCTTTTTTACTTGAGTATATAGAGGAGAAACGCTGGCTACAGCTAGTGGCACGACTAATCCTATGTTTGGTTGAAAGGAAAGATTGATAAAGGATGGAAGAGAGGAGGAATATAGAATAAGCTTCCCTTGTTTGGTAAGAAGGAAGGGAAGAGGGATGAAGTATCCCTCCTAACCCAAGTTTTTGAAAAATTCTTTATCCATTCAAAATTGGGCGAAAGAAAAATGGTCCTACGAATATGTAACACCAGTTTTAACCTTTATCGCTTAATCCTATTGAAATTATCTCTCACACTTAAAACAAGGGTATATTGGTAAAAAAAATACAAAAACTTTCATTCTCCTTTCCTTCCCAAGGATGTTGTCCTCATCCATCCCTCCTCATTTCCCTTCCATTCATTTTTTCATCCCTTCAACCAAATGGAGCATAAAACAATTAATACAAAAAGGACTATAGTGACAAATGACTCCTTATTTTAGCCACATGTGTGACACAAAATTTATAGTAGAAATTATTGCTACACTTCCAGAAGAGTATAATTGTGGGGTATGTTGAATACTATTTTTGTCAGTTGTGGGTGGGTATGGTCAATGAATGTAAACATAAGATGCTGAAGAAACAGAAATTTTGGTTGAGGAATGGTTTTCATGGATGGGAAAGCTACGCATTGTCCTTGGTTGCTTCAGTTCTGGAGAAAAGATTATATTTATATTTTGTATCAGCAACAGCTCATCTCTCGCCTGTCAATTTTTCTTCAGCATCACCATAATCAATGCATATATTCTCCATTACACACGCACACACACCAAATGTCACTGCATTATGCTAATATCAATATTTTAGTGGCCCCTTCTTCAGCCACAGAAAATTCATATCATGCAACCTTTTTGGAGAAGCCAAGAAACCAGGTCTAGCCCTTTACTTTTTTTTAACTTATTCTAAAAAAAATATTATTGTGGTTCATTTACTTGTTTTCTAAATTTTGTGATGGTTCATTTACTTATTTTCTAACTTTTGTGATGGTTCATTTACCCAACATTCTACATATGGGGGTTGTTGATCTGTGTTACTGGTGTGAGTTCAAGCCTCAAATCCCACTTCGAAAAATACCAGAGTTAGGTCTGTCCCGAGTTTTTTCTTTCCAGAATTCTGATATGGCAGATCAGAAGTCAAAATATTTTAAGTATAAAAATGCCTTTATTTTCGTGTTTTATTTTATGATTTGATGATGATAACCTTAGTTCTCCAATTAAAGTGCCAACAATGAGTAAAGTAATGGAATAAAGGAATATTTGAAGGATGATGATAACCATGTGTGATTGCTAGCTTTAGCAAGTCCTAGCTTGTAGCTATAGATTCCAGAAATGTTTGTCTTAAAATTAAACTTGTATGCAAATATCTGGCTCTTTCTGGATTAAATGCACATACAAATGTTTTCTTTATCATTGGTGTCAATGCATAGCATTCTTCACATTTTGCAAACATATGTAGCATTTTCATGTACGAAACTACTAGGCCTTTCTGGCTGAAATTTCTAGGGCACCCCCAATCCTGTTGATACAAGATTTGTAGAGAAATCCCAAATAATCTATAATGCTGTCTTCACAGGCACCTTCTAGAGGATTGATCTCGAAAGACCAGTTAACTAGTGTCGAATCATCTCCATAGTCTACAAGCTTCAATGAATTTGCAGAACCATCTAATCCTACATTGCTTGCTTCCATTTTGTAAACATAAGTATGTGACATTGGGTCCATGGAAACTAGCCTTTCTTTGATCCATGACCTTTCTCCATCTTCTTGAGGGAACATGAAACCAGAAACTAGCCTAACATAGCCCGGAACGCCTTCACTTCCAGCTAAGTCAGTGCATCTTTCAACCATTGGCATCCACTCTGGTAGTCTAGTAGTTTGAGACACCATGGCCCAGACTTTGTCTATGGGTGCATCTACAATACCTCCAACTGAACCGCACCATTTTGCCTTTCCCTGCTCAAATGCCTGCACGATATAGGAAGTAGTTAAAAAAAGGTTCATAAGCTTAATCATATCTTATCACCATGTAAGTTGATCATGCGATCAGCTCAGCTAGTATAACCGGTATAACCTCTCTTCCCTCAAACGAGAAGTGAAGGGTTCGACTCCATTTTCTCGCCAAGGCAATTTCATTCTATGGAGAAGGAAAAAGACCTTAGAAATTGCAGAATCCATACCATGTTTTATTTGTGTTCTGTCGTGTGATGACAATTCTTTCCTAAATAAAATCAACAATTCCTTCCAGCTTACAAACAATACAATTGCCTTGCCTTGGCTTCACTTAATTGCCTCTTAGCAACATTACATGGTGAAGTTTTACCTATAAAAAAAACATTACATAGTGAAGGAATTAGTAAAAGCAATGTCATTTTCGAAAATTCACTTAGCAAGACAAAAGAGTAGGAGCATGCAAGGGATGACTCCGAGGCTTAACCTCTTTGGTATTTACAATATTCCAAGCAGAATCTTTGGGGTTTTATTTTTAATTATTTACTTTTGGATAATCATGTTGTTAAGGACAAGGTTGTAAGGGACTTCATTTACTTCATCCTATCATTAGGATGATGTATTTCATCTTTTCTCTTGTCCTTTTATTATTATTTTTCTTGACAGGAAATACACACCTTATTTGTCCCTGAGGTGATTTAAACCCTCACCTTCCATACATTAGGAAATACCATAGGGTTACAAGTCTTTATTTAATTATTTATTTATTATTATTATATTAAGTTCTTACCTGTGAACTGCATAATTATGATTTTGTTTTCTTTCCTATGAATTTTAAGCAATTCTCATGGTTATAGATATTAAAATATAAATAAATCTGATGCTTATATTTTCCAATTTGCCTTTTCTTACCCCTTTTTCCGGGGTAAACATGAAAAACTGAATTTTAAAAAATTGCCATGATAAGTTTAGGGTAAAGTACAATGACACCCCGAGGTTTGGAAAACCATATATCCGCCAAGGGACATCCTAAATCGGAGATGGCAACACCAATTCCATCCTTTGCCACATACAATCCATGTAGACTACAATCCATTTTTACATCTCCAACAGATAAAAGCAAGAGTAGAACATTTACAAGAGAAAAATGATGGGAGAATATGAAAAATACTACATTGGTATAACCGTTAATTAAGGACTTGAACATTGGTAATTCGATAACAATTTGGCGCTTGTACCCCATGCACAAGGATCTTTGAATGCAGAAAATGGCTATTTACATCAAAATCGCCATAGATTATCCGACAAACAGATAACTTCAGACTCCTCTGTATCATCATCGAACAACCTGCATTCCAACCCTCTGCCATGGTTTATATAGATATACAAGAATGTAAGACTTTTCCTACTACACTTTATCTGTAAAGTAAATGTTGTTGCACCAAACATAACATGAAAGATATTATAGGAAGGCGATCATTAGAACGCTACTTGTGACTACAGTAATAGTTCAGATTTCTGTTAGTGGATTTATTTCGTGGAACAAAGAGACATAATTTTTACCATTTCAGCATTTATTCCACTAAAGGATGGAGCGAGAGCTGTCAAGTTTGGATCATCCTTGTGCTTGTCCCAAGCTGCTTTAAACTGCGAACCTTTGCATCTTGGAAGTTTTAAAGAAAATTATGAAACAACCAAAAGAATTAAAGTTAGATCAACAAAGAGAAGAAATAACCTGTACATGTATGCAATGGAAAGAAAGAACTAAAAAAGGCACAATATTTACTGCTGAAGCAATATCAAAATCTGAAGAATACGTGCTCTAATTTCTTCACGAGAAATTTTCAATGCTGCCTCCTTGTACAGGGTGGCAAGTTCATCCACCAATCTGAGAAAAAAAGAAAGACAATTAATAATGAAAGCAAATGATAACACAAATAAAAACAAAAACAAAAACAAAAACAAAAAAAAGGAAAAAATCAAACAGCGCTGAGTTGTGAAGTGATGTTTCAAATATATAAATAATTGGAAGCAGAAGCAGCCGTGTAACAACCAAGACCAAAAGAAAGTAGATGCATCTAGTCCTTAAGATGGAAGCTGTACATGAGCTATGGAAGACCCCATGAATAATTACAATTGAGGGTGCACAAGGAAAGAACTTCAGGGAAAGAAACTTCTAGTGGCTACTAACTGATCTGAAATGGACTATTTCAAGTTTTTTTAATGTTTGAAATTGTTAAACACAAAATCGTAGTGCATGAGCTGTAATATAAAAATTAAAAAATAAAATAAAAAGATCTGAAATGGACTATTTCAAGTTTTTTTAATGTTTGAAATTGTTAATCACAAAATCGTAGTGCATGAGCTGTAATATAAAAATTAAAAAATAAAATAAAAAATTTACTCTCAACTCAGCCTCCAAAATGATCCAACTTTTAAACAAGTCTCTTGCTTATCCTGGCTATGATTATAACTGCAAAAATATTGATAAAGGTTATTACTCTGAAGCATCATGAGGCCAACTTCCATTAACACTTTGGTATTTGTGAATGGTTAGAAAGTTTGTAGTCATGGTTAATTGATACATCTTACAAATGTCACCTCAAGATAAAAATAACTAAATCCCTTCTAAATTTCATATGAAGTTCTGTTTTCTAGAAGGAATCAAAACCAAGGTTCTGTTGGTTAATGGTCCAGTAAAAGAAGCTACGACTTCAGTTGTAACATTCTTTGGAGACAGTATAAGACATGGCCTCATTTTGAAGTCCCACATGATTGACTACCCCCCTCTCTCTCCTTTTTTCCTTGCTTTTCTTACTATGAAGTATGAAGGTAAAAATGAATCAGTTCTGTTTATTGTTTAATCATCCAATCAACAAATTTTAATTTGTGATCATCATTACTGCAACTGCAGACCAACTTACAAATTCATATAATGATGTATTTGTTCACCTGGGATGTTCAACTGCCACAACCCATGTATTCTACATGAGGATAAAGCATAATTTTTCAGCTCACCTTTCAGTATATGTTGTGTTCCTTATCCATGTTAACTTTAAAACTGTATGGACCCGTTCAAGAACCTGCAAGTAGAAATAAAATGATTTATCTACCATTCCTTCCAACAAACACTAATTACTGATCATAATTTTGTTACAGTTGTTATGGGCCAGTTCTTCACAAGATTTGATAATAAAGACAAATGAAACTATTAAATGTTAAATGCATCATGTGTGAGATGTGTCCATGGATCTCCTGTTGCTCTCATTAAAAATAAATAAAATGTAAAATAAGAATTAATGCTAGAAATTTAATAGTGAACATTGTTTCTTATATTTTTTTAAATGCAATTTTTTTAACATCAAAGCTACGTACATTTCCAAAAATACAGCGCAAACCACCTTTTCAAGGTGAAGTATAGCAAGATGCCCAAAAATGTCTATATCAACATGTTGAAAGCAGTTATAATCGTACTTGTAAAGGTATATTTAATAAATATTGTATTGTAAGATTCAGTGACTTATTCTTGAATGCATTTCACTATACCATATCACTGTATTGTAGAATATTAATATATTGCTGAATACTGTTAAAATGGTATATAAGACTTTCTAGAGGGACTAACCAATGATAAGATTCTTCACTCAAGTAAGTTATTAGGTCTCGATGGTATAACAAAGAGCACAGATCTAAGTCCAATACAAGTCCAGAAGTGTATAAATATTTTCAGATCAAACTTCTAAAATACTAATAAAATTAAGAAGTATTCTTCCTCTTCTACAGGAAAATGGAATTGCTTCTTACCAATAGAACAGTTACATCATCATCAGCATGCATCCACTGAAAGAAAAGTGGGAAAATACGCCTGAAATGAGCTAACAGTACCAGACCAACACCCTCTAAAAGTGGCTCAATGCACTGAAGCCAAGCAACACGGCGCTCCTTGTTTCTTGGTTGGCGCTCCAAGTGACTTAACATCTCATTCAGCATCTTTTCATACCTATATAAAATGTATTTGATATTGAAAGAACTACAGATGACCATAATAAATTTTTACACATTCACTTGATGATAAACAGGATTCATATACACTAATGAACCATTATACTTTCATATTGTTGATTGATAAATGTTAAACACCGGAACAAATTAGCCTGGTATTAAAATAGAATTCTATCAATTCAATCCAAGCCAATGGTCTTCAACTATGTTGCTGGTTACTGCAACATATATGAAGAGGATTGTTCCATGTTTACAGAAGTACCATTCTAGTGGTAGCCTAGCTAGCTATATAACCACGCTGTCTAATACGACACTTTACAATGATAAGTATAATCTTCAATTCTTCATAGAGTATCATAGTTCCAGAATATCTTATTGGCTGTGAAAATGAAAACCATCCAGCTTCAGCTGGACAAAGATGTAATGTTTACTTAAATATCTCCCCTTGCCTCCTTTCACAATCCTAGTAGGTCAGAAATGCATACCAAATTTATTGATATGAACATTAATTCTTTTATGTATTTAAATAAATAAAGGATCATCCATCAATTTAAATTTACTCAAATGAGAGAAAAGTGCCATAACCCAGTGTTGATCCTTAAGGCTTGGTTTGGTTAGATGGAATCAACTAGAACAAAAAGGAAAGAGAAAATTTTTAAATTTTTTTAGAGTTTGGATAGAAGGAAAAAGAATCGTAATAGAAAATATAGTTTCCCGCATTAGACTAGTTTCCCCCAAAACTTTTCTCACACAAAACACGAGGAAATAATATTTTCTCGTGAAAACTGCTTCTTTTTACTTGAAGTTCCTATTTTATCCAACAACTGAATCATATAAAACAACTAACTTCTTTCTTTTCTAACTGAGCTTCTTTTCTATTGAGTTTCAAAGAGGCAAGTTCTCTAACAATTTCTATTTTAGTGGACTTCTAGAAGGCAAGTTCTCTCTAAACATGTTCTCTTCCAATACTATTTGGACGATTTTTTTTTTGGGTTCCAAATATATACATTGTATATGATATATATATATATATACCTCTATTATATATAGAGAGAATAATATATATTTTGCTCTTTTTGTGTTCTCTGGTTGAAAGCTCATGAGTCCATGAGCCCAATATTTTTTTTTTTTTTAAGCTTCCTTATTTCTCTTAAATGAATAGTTAGTTCTACTTCTACGGTTCTACCTAAGAAGTCTTGAAGTATTGTTTTAATTTAAACAATATAATATAAATAATTATATTATTAAATTTAATAATTCATCATTTTATTAAAACTTTGATAAAAATAGACATCATCAAACACAAATTTATTTATTTTTTTAGTATTTGAAATCATATGGGCAATTTTGGTATGCACAATCACTTTCTTTTAATTTTCATCCTATCCAAACTAACAAATTAATATTTTCATACAATTTTCCTGAATAAATTTTCATGCTAACCAAATGCTTGATAAAAAATAACTTTTTTTTTTCATTCGCTTCACTTTTCTTTCATTTTCCGTTACTTTTCTTTTCTTGCTTATTTCTATCTAACCAAATGGAGCCTAAGTGTCGAGTGTTGGAAGGAGCGGATAGTAGAGAACCTAACCTCCAAATATAATTTCCAGGATATGGCTGTGCACAAACTCAAATCCATGTTCTCAAGCTTGGTAGTTCAAACTCTCACATGAAAATAATATAAGTTTGAAAATAAAAAAATGAAAGACAAAAAAGGTTACAGGAGTATAGGCAAAGTATACCATGGGCTGCGAGGATTGCTCCGCAGGATAGAAGTCGCTAAAAGTACCGACATCTCAACCACATGGTGCCATATCTCATCATCGGAAGCAATGTTCTGGCAGCATGCATCAAGGATTACATCTTCATACCAACTGAGCTCAGCAGCATTCACATTCTTCACAAGATGTATAAAGCTAATCATGCCCTGCCCCTGAAATCATAAAGCATAATAAACAATTACAGCGGTTGAATAATCCATGCATATCTTACATGCACAGATGCATGTATCTACATTGCCACATATGTTCATATGCCAAATTCAAGTAAAAGACTCCTCCACATCAGAAAATAAAAAGCACAATCAATCTTCCACCACTTCAAGTGGGGAAAACTAGAAAATGCACGTTTTGATAGTTTGTTAAATTTCCAAAGAGCCTTTAGCATTTGAAACTTAGTATTCAGAAAACAAAAATATATGAATTAATTCAATATAGTTTTAGCATTCGGATCATGATTTCTACCACATCAAGTTTCAAACAACTGTATTTGATGATAAGATTCTACACAAGTCGGCGCAAAACAGATATTGACAAGCAAGGAGATAGTAAATCAAGAAAAGTGTCGAACAAATATTTAGACACATACTTTCACCTCCGGTGACCAGTGATCGAGAGCTGTCAGTGCACAAGGAATCACCAAAGAACACAACTTCCCCAAATGTGGATAATCAACCTATTAAAAAATACAAGCCAATACTAAATCAAACTTCAACACACACACACACACACACACACACACACACACACACACACATATATGAAAAATTATAAATCAGAAAAAATAAAATAAAATAAAATAAAAAATCTTTTGAGGCTCAACTGAAAAACCTGTGTCACAAACCATCTAAACTGATAAGCAGCCACAATGGCATAAACAACAGGAACCCTAGAGGTTGCAGTAGACATCTCGTCCCCATCGTCCGACTTATCAATTGAACTCTCCTTAATACTCGCTTTTAGCAAAGGTAACACAATGGGCATCAATTCCACACCCAATTTCTTCTCATCTGATATCATCCCCAAATCCAGACCCAATTCACCAAACTCCGTCGACTGTTTCGCACTTAAATTGATCGAATAAGCTTTCGAGAGCTCTCCGAATGCCAATTCTGCGGCAATCGAGAGTGAATTTGGCATCCATGAGAGTTGGTCGTGCGTTGAACCAGCGAAGGAAGTTAATGCGGCACAGCATAGACTGAAATCTTTGATTTTGCTAAGAATTTCAGGTTCGGAGACGTCAAAATCCGATGTCGAGGGTTTTTGAGGAAGGAGGGATTCGAGCATGGATTTGATAGAGACATTAGAGCCCTCTGGTGGACTGTACTGTGTTCTCGATAGAGATGCTCGGATTGGTTCAGATAACCTAAAATACAGAGTAATCTGAGAAACAACACATGTATATATATATACACACACGTATGTAAATAGAGAGAGAGAGAGAGAGAGAGAGAGTGAGTGAGAGATTACTGAATGAGTTCGTGATGGAGAGCTGCGATGGATTTCGACATTTAGGACTGTTCGATTCTGAAATTGTGGCCGAACAAAACGAACACAATTATGGTTTGGTAAATTTGGTTTCTTTATACGATGTCGTACACAATAATTTTTTTTTTTTTTTTTTTTTTAAGGAATATTATCCAACTACCATGAGATTAATCAATAGGATTATGCTGCTTACCTATTCTCTAATATAATACTCTGTTTATACTAATCTTTCTTGTTAAACATTTTTATCTGACTTTGTTAACTAAAATAGTACATAGTATAGAATTTTAAATAAGACAAAGTAGAGAAAATCCTATGTCATTTAATCTTTTATCTAAGAATCTCCCTAGACTTGAATTCTTTTCTAATAAATCTCTCTTATCTAATTTTTTACTAAAGAATCTCCCTCAACTGTCCGTGGATAAAAGAAATGATATTTGGGCCCTTTTATTTAAATTTTATTTTTTTCAAATTTCAAAAATTTAAATCTCACAAACCGTACATCCAAATATTGCAAATAATATATGAATAAAAATATTATAAAACAAGGATTCCATAAATATAAGATTTATTTAACAAAACTTCATAACTAGAGAAAAATAGATAATCTAAAAATCTACTGTAACAACCTTATTTTATTTTATTTTTAAAAAATACTTGGGTTATTTGCAAGAAAATTTTCATATGAAATATAACATATAAAAAAAATTAGCCCCAATAGAGACCGAATATTCATTTTGATTTTTTTTTTTTTTAAATGGTGAGGTTGTAAATGAATGAAAATACTTTGATGCAAAATATGATATCTCATGGGACTAAATTTTTTATATATTCTGTTCCATATGTAAATGAATAATTCTGAAAATTTTATTGCAAATATCTTGAGTATTAAAATAAAATAAGATTATTGGAGTAGATTTTTAGATTGCCTATTTCTCTATGGTTATGAAGGTTTGTTGTATAAATCTTATATTTCTGAAATCTTTATTTTATAAATTTTTCGTGCATATATTATTTACAATTTTTAAATGTACGGTTTGTGCGATATGAATTTTTGAAATTTGGGATAATTAAGATTTAAATAAAAGGGCATTTTGGTCCAAATTTTAACTCTTTTATCCCCCTCAGATAGTTGAAGGGGGTTCTTTGGTAAAAAATTAGACAAGGGATTTATTAAAAAAATGCTATAAGTCAGGGGGGTTCCTTAGTACAAAAATAAATAAAGGAGGTTTACTGAAAATGGTTACAACTCGAGGGGGTTTTTTTGTACTTTGCCCTTTTAAATATTTGGTCCTTGAAATTTGGATTTCTTTTGGTTCAATGTAGCAAATATAAGTAATAGGTTGCAACTCGATTGGATTGGAGGTATGCTCGAGCCTCAAGTCTAACCTAACCTAAACCTAACCTTGAGGCCTAGTTTTGTACGCATGAATGAAATTGAATGGAATGGAATAAAGCTGTGAATTGAAATATAATTGGAATGGTCATTCTCATTCTCTTGTTTGGTTGCAAGTATGAAATGAAATTAAAATGAATTGATAATCATAATTCTTAATGGTGGTGGTGGCAATGGAAGGTTGTGGCGGCGGCGGTGGTGGAAAGTGGTGGTGGCAATGGAAGGTTGTGGCAGCGGTGGTGGTGGAAGGCAGCAGAAGGTGGTGTGGCAGTGGTGGTGATAGAGGAAGTTGGTGGCGGGCGATAGTGGAGAATTGTGGTAGCGAAAGGTGGTGGCGGTGCAAGGCCGCGGTGGTGGTGGAATGTAACAGTGGTGGTGGTGGTGATGGCTAATAATTTTCTTCCATCCGTTTAGAAGCGGAATGGATTTTCATTCCAAGCTGATGGTCATTCCTATTCTAAATGTCATACTAAACGAATGAATTGTTGGAATAGAACATTCCATTCAATTCATGCGTACCAAATTAGGCCTAACTATTCAACTCGAACTCAACCCGTCATTTTTTTTTTCAACTCAAGTTGAAATTTTGGACTAGAAAGTCCAATTAATTTGAATTACTCATACAACTAATCTCCACACTTAAAATTTAATGTGATATTGAAATAGTTTCATATTAAATTATTCCTAAACACACAAAGTTTTAAAATTTATTGTAATTTTTTAATAAATTACAAACAAATTCTTAAAAAAAAAAATAATTCTTGTGTTAATATACAATAAATTAAATTTAAGCAAAGGAAGTGAAAAATGAAAAAGGTGATCATAATTTAAATATTATGTATCTTATTTAAAATAAAATATATATATGAAAATAAAATTATAATTCAGGTTCAGATTGAGCTCGGGTTACTAGAAACTAAATGCAAGTCCAATCCTAATTAAGTTAGGGTTAAATTTTTTTAACCCAAATTCAATCCTAAGTATAAAAATAATTGCTCAAGCTTGCAAAAAATCAGACTAAGCTCATATGATTTCCGCCTCATTTATAAGGACATATATAACATTTTAAAATTTTAAATTGCTCACCTCACTAGAAACTCAAAATCTTATATCACTTTTTGAAAGGTTAACAACATAAGAGAAATTTGGAGGGTTAAATAATTCGTTCAAATTTCTCGTTATCCTTTTTTTTTTTCTTCTCTCTCAATAACAAACCAAACATAAAAATTTCTATCTCCCTTTGTTTGTTTTCTTCTCCTTCTAATTCCACGGGATGCACTTATGGTTAGGAATAGTCATATATGTTGAACCTAATCTGAATATGCAGACCTCAATTATAACAAACCACTATTTATTTATTTTTTTCAGCTTTTCTTTTTTACTAAAACTAATCCAAGACCAAGTAAATCCCCAGTTGCACCCCCCAAATTTATTATTATTATTATTATTATTTATTTTATGTTAGCAAACTAATGGAAGACGGATTTAAAAATGGACACATCCCACACCCAAACTTAGGGAGTTGACTCTCTACCTACTATACTATGAGTAATACTAAAATTGCTCTCCAAATTAAATAATGTTGTTATTTGAACTTAATTTGCTATTGTTTGCAATTGGCAACGGACAATTCCAATTTCCCTTGTAATTATGTTTCAAAAACAATAATAATTCCAACCTGAAAATTGAAAAATATCCAAATTTCCTTTTATCAAAGGGATTTTTACTAATACATGGGCTTAAGGCCCAAATACTACAAGGTGATGAAGTCAAACTTGGGTTATTTCTGGAAAATGAGAGAACAAACCAACTTTTTCTCAAAAATTGATGTTTCAGTGTACTATTTCTTCAAAATGAACTATAATTCTATTATGGACCACAAAACAATTTATAATGCTACAATGACCCAAACTATATTTTATTATAACATAAACACCTTAAAACATGAAATAAGTTTACATAATACCTTAAAAAAATTTATTTTTGTATTTTTAATTAAATTAAAGTTTCTCAGTGGGCTAATATGGACTTATAGACTTCTTTAGACAAAAGATCATTTATATATATTAATTTAACGAAACAGTATAGGCTCTGATACAAAAATTGAGTTGGATCTAACCGGATAGAAGTAAGCAAAATAACATAGAAATAAAATAACAATTAAATCACAGAAATGACTGTCGAACCTGATAACGCTCTGATAATGCCCTGTAGAAACTCCTGAACACGGGCAAAGAACGGGCCAACAAGCCAACAGTTCGAGTCAACTCACAGAAAAAAATTGCTAAATTAATTCTAAGGCTGCTTGTACTGGTTGGATTCAAGAAAATTCTAGGATCTACACTGTCTGGCTAAATAAAATCTATATATTTGATCTTTTTGTCGACTGAAATCTTTTGCCCGAAAGAACTTAAAATACTAAATTGGGATTAGGAAATTTTGAATAAGAGCAAACTGGATAATTTATTTCATAAGAAAGATATACATGGATACACTCTCACACTATATATTACAAAGGAAATATACTGAAAAAAGTCACAAAACACACTGGAAACTGGAGGCTGGAATGCTTAATGGTTCTAGACTTGATTGCTCTAAAACTCGATGATCATTACTTGAGTAGAGAAGTTCCTTTTATAGAAGAAGAGAGGGATGAATCGTTGGCGGGGCTTGAAGATGCTCATGGATGGTTAAGATTCAAGATGCTTTAGAGATAAGATGACATGAATTATTGATGAACTGTTAATGTCTTTTTTTGGAGAATTATATCTACTTTTGCTGTTGAAAATCTACTTTCGGTGGGTTTGCTTTTAATTGTACACTGTTGAGAATCTACTTTTCTTGAATGCTGAAGCTGCTTTTTCCTGTACACTGTGGAGAATTTGCTTTTTCTCTAGAATTCTTGCATATTTGACAAATTTCGGTCGGTATGCTATCTGTTGGACTGTCAACTCTTGCTCTTATATGCCTGCGGGTCAAGTATTCATCAGTACTGTCTGGTGAGCTGGTTTCTTCATTTCTGTAGGCGAGATTGAATTGGTCTAATAACATTTTTTCTTCATTTATTATTTCTTCAACTTCTGGGATATCTCAATCTCTAGAGGAGACTTAAGGACATGAGGAATTCTTGCTTTAACAAAAATTTTCATGTTAATATTATGATCGTAGAGTCTAAAACCAGGATTGTAGTTAGGCTAACTTGACGATAGGCTTTGTAGTATACCAGATTGTTAAAGGTAGCTGGTTCTATCTCATTACGAAAATTATTTACAAAATCAATATATCGGGTAAGAACTTTGACTTCTGTAAGATCAGAGTGAATGTAAATTTGATGCTGTCCCAGAATTATAGCTTCATCTTTTACCCATTCTGGGGGAATACTGTGGATTTAAAGGAGAATTGGACTTTCTGGCATGAAATTTTGGGTTAGTTTCTGTTCGAAGGCAATGGCTTGGTTTAAACGGTGAAAATTACATAAAGAATTTAGATATTCTAAGGGTGTGTCCTTTGGTATGGTAACACTGTAGATCATTCCTAATTCTAACAGCTTACTTAGATAATAAATGGTTGTTTTTGTAGAGAAAATGGTTTTTCTAGTTATTTCAAAAGGAATAAAGAAAATAGGGTTTACATCTAACAAGATAATGGCCATAGGTGTAAGGTTGTCTGTCTGTATAAATCATAGAAAA